TCTCTCACTTTGGAGGGGTTTCCCTTCACTATGTGTTTTAGCTCTCTGGCAGGCCTCCCCCTTACATTGTCTGCATTACATTTTCAGAGAGATTAGGTACTTGAAGGTGTAGTCTGAAGTATAATGAAGCTGAAGTAGGGGGTCATAGGCTGCTTCTTTAGCAATGTAGAGATACAAAGTCTCATATGTTTTCATATATGGTTATGGGAGATACCAGTGAGAGAGAGGGCCTACTCAGCCCTCTCTACTTATATATCCCCACAGGACAACACACGCTGTTGTCATGACAGTGTGTGACATCACGGCAGCTTATGACACCATCTTGTTGTGTGTATATATGTCTGCGCATGTACGGAAAGGCTTGCACATGCATATAGCGGCCGCACGTGCGCTGTAAAATCCGTGCATGCGTGCAGCAAGAGCTGCACATATTGCCTTAGTCCAACCAGAGCAAAGGCACATCCTTCCGACCCCTAACCCCCCATACACCGTCCTCTGCACCCCCACCATCAAAGCTTCACCTCCAGGCTAAGTCCAACTATACAGGCACATTGAATACAACATATACATCACATTATTAATTTTAAGCATGGAGCCTATTACATTATTGCACCAAACAAGTCAAATACTAGAGTTTGGCATGCCTACCAGGACCCCTATCCTTCCTAGTCTTATTGATCATCTGTTGAAGCAATAATCTCATACCTTTAGGTATCTGTGATTTCTGGTTCTACACCTATCCATTTACAGTGAAGAGCATTACAAACTTACATTTTATCAATAAAGGCATTTCAACCAGGAGAGGCACCTCTGCTTTTCAGCCATAGTCTTTTTCAATATTTCAAGATTCCTTGTCAACCAACCCTCTTGACATTTGATTAACATAAAAAAAAAGCTCAAAGCTAGGCACCTCATTCAAACCCGGAGGTCTCGTATCAAAATTATGTTTCAGGCCTACATGCCTACTCACTGGGGTATTTATCTTTGCATTTTGTGTAATATATTTATGTAGTCCTGTACTCTACTTGCACTTTGTCTTCCTGACGTAGAAGGCCTTGCACTTACATACTATCAGATACACTATACCTTTGGTGTCATAAGACACTCAGTGCCTTAGATTCAACATCTCTCTTGGTAACTGGGTATTTACTTGATTATCTATCCAGGGACATTATCACTTTTGGGTACCCTTCTGCCCCCCACCTGTCTATCATGTTTCTTACAATAATCACATAGTCAGGTTGAAAAAAGACACAAGTCCAACCTATAAAGAAAACAAAATAGAAAAACCTCCATGCATAAGCAGAACCCTATGCTCACACTTACCCACAGGTGATCCAAAGGAAGGCAAAAAAAACCTATAAAGCATAGTTCAATCTGCTTCATACAGGAAAACAAATCCTCCTTGATTCCATAAAGCAATCCGATATTCCGTGGATCAACAATCTGGTGTTTTTTCTACTGATAAAATATGATCTAGTTACTGTATTTTCTATGGACCTAGAAATGCATCCAGATTAAAAATAAAAAGAACAGTTAAATGAGCTAGCTAGAACTAGTTCCTGAGGAAGTATATTCCACATTTTCACAGCTCATACTATGAAAAAGCCTTTCAGTGTGCTAAGGCTAAACCTCTTTTCCTCCAGGCGCAAAGAGTGCCCCTTGTCCTTTGCAGCAACCTTAAAGTGAATAATTTGGCACCAAGCTCACTATATGGACCTTTTATGTATTTATATATGGTGATTATGTCCCCCCTTAATCGTCTCTTCTCCAGAGAGAACAAATTCAGTGCAGCTAATCTTTCCTCATAGCTGAGCTCCTCCATACCTCTTATGAGTTTAATTGTCCTTCTCTGCACTTTCTCCAGTTTCATAACATGCTTTTTGTGAACTGGTGCCCAAACTGAACTGCATATTCTAGATGATGTCTTACTAGTGCTTTGTACAGGAGCAGGATTATCTCTTTCTCTCTCTCTCTCTCTGGAGTCTAGACCCCTGTTAATACAAGAATGTATTTTGATTGCTTTAGAAACTGCAGCTTGGCATTACATACTCTTATTGGGTTTATTGCCTACCAGAACACCCAGATCCTTCTTGATCACTGACTTCCCCAGTTGTACTCCTCCTAGAGTGTATGACACGTGTATCTTTTTAGACTCAAATGCATAAACATTACATTCATCAACATTAAATCTCATTTGCCAAATAGATGCCCAATCACACAGTGTATTCAGATCTGCTTGTAAGATGGAGACATCTTGTAAGGACTGTATTCCAGTACATAGCTTGGTGTCATCTGCAAACAGAACTTTAATCCCAAACTCTATATAATTTATAAGTAGGTTAAACAGTAAAGGCCCCAACACTGATGCTTGGGGTGCGCCACTAAAAACCTCAGACCATTCAGAGTATGAATCATTAATCACCACTCTCAGAAGAATACAGTTTTTAAGCCAATTTTTGATCTAATAACAGACTGAATATTCGAAACCTACAGATCTTATTTCACACATTAGCCGTCTGTAGAGAACGCTTGGAAAGTACAAGTATACGATATCCACAGCCATTCCTTTGTCTAATTTATTGCTTACTTCCTCATAAAAAGAAAGTAGATTTGTTTGACAACTTTTGTCTTTTGTTAATCCATGCTGACTATCGCTTATAATATTATTTTCTAGGAAGAACGGGTGTATGTGATCCTCTATCTAACTTCCAAACTATGGAAGTTAAGCGTACAGGCCTGTAATTACTTGGTAAAGACTGATATTTTTTCAAATATACAGTAGGTACCATATTGGCCTTCAGCCAATCCATTGGTACCAAGCCAGTCATTAAATTGTCTCTAAAACTTAGATACAATGAGGGAAATTTATAAAAACTGGAGCAGACAAAATTCTGGAGCAGCTGTGCATGGCAACCAATCAACATCCACCTTTCATTTTCAAAGCTTAAATGAGCAAACATGTATATGTTATTTTGAATATTTTGTGATTACTCGGGTAGTTGCCTCGTTTGATGTTTTAGGGGGACCGTATAGTAGGGTGTACCTAGATCTTAAATACACTTTTCTGGTAAGCCTTCCTAAGGCCTGGGACACAGAGGCGGGCACTGAAGGCATTGCAAAATAATGATAGTATTGTCATCAAGCCCTCGGACAAAGGGGGCAATATAGTTATAATGGACTGTGACCAATAGTAGACTTAGCAAAAAGTGTGTTTAGGGTCCAGGACACCCTTCTATACGAGTCCCCTAAGACACCGAAATTGGCCACTTCTCAAGTGCCCCTCAGTTTGTTAATCCATCTTGGAGGGGCCAATAGTGGGATTGGTCGATATTGTCTCTCCATCATCATTTTCATTTGCCTGGCGTTGGGCTTTTAAATGCAAGCTATGTCTCTCCAAATGGAGGACGGTTTGGACTAGTTAATGGTTGGGGACTTGGTGCAAACCCAGTTTACCGGATTTCCCCCAAGCTGCACCCGGGTATGTTTACACCAGCAGCTGCATTCAACCACACGGCTGCTAGTGTGCGTGTCCCTGGACAATGCCGATGCACTCAATCGAGCAGGATCACATGGTTTCTTCTTTTTTTGTAGAACTTTATTGAAATGTCACAAGTGACATTTCACTCAGTTCTATGTGCTCACAACGGTGAGATGGGGTTGTTCCGCCTCTCAGTGTGGTGCGCTTAAAACGAGTACTGCATGCTGCACACCACCAGAACGCTGTGGTGTGATCTGAGCCCATCCGCGACAAAGCAAATTGCCATCGCAGCCCAAAAGCAGATGGCGTGAACCGATGTGCTATCATTTTTCTGGACCTTATTTGAATGCTGGACCGCATCACTTCCAGTGAAGGTGTGCTAGGCTCAACGTGCATGCACCCATAATATTTCTTGACTTCGCACACACATGAAAAAAGGGTGTTAGGAGAGTTGATTCGGATGACGCGGCCACACTGGAAGTTACGCGGTTGAGACATTTTATGGGTCGAGAGAAATTATAGAAGGGTGCATGCGCGTTGAGCCAGGCACACCTCCGACATAATTGAACATCGGCCCTTACCCGGTGAATGAATCCCCCCCTACGGCCCAATCAGTTGCAGCCAGGACATTCCCTGCCTAGGGTTGCCACCTGTCCGGGATTCACCCGGACAGTCCGGGTTTTGAAAGCTGTGTTCGGGTTTCATGGCATCAGAAACCCGGACACAAGATGTCAAGCAGACGGGGCAACCAAAATTAAGATAGGGGCTACTGGCCCCCCACTGAAAATAGTCTCAACTGTGATATTTACATATGAATGGGCGGCGCTATGTACATATGAATAAGCTACGACTTATTCTCCCAAAAAATGTCAGCGCGTCGCTAGATTGTTCGGGTTTGGCTTGAAGAAAAGGTGGCAACCCTATCCCTGCCCACAGCTACATGTCACTAAGGGGCAGGAAATGCCCCAGCCGCAACTGATTGGTCTAGGAGGGGGTGTGTCAGGCATTGTTCTGTGTGGGCTTGGGTGAACTCATGCAAGCTGGGTTTGCACCAAGCCCCCCTGATCACTAGTTGGGAAATAGTTTTTAATTGAACCTCTTTATCTAGTAAACAGGTTTATCTGCTTTTTTTTCTCAAATATTGGTACAAGTCAAACTGGTGTATTATCTGAACAGACTTTCAGACACAACACTGCAATGACTACACTAAGCTTGCAGTCAGCTCCAGGATGAGCTCATATTTCCATTCATATAAAGGAAACTATCAAATCCCCCCGTTTCGTTTCCTTATAACATCATAAAGCAAACTTCGGTCTTCTCCGTCGTTGCCCGTAAGTCTTCGTCAATTTGGGGGGCCGCCGTCCAATCCAAGCATTCCTTTCAAAGCGGACTGGAGACTTAGTTTTTTTTTTTTTGTTTTTTTTTTGTTCTGGTAAGGGAGCACGCCCCCTAGTGCGCGCATTGGAATGCGGCTCCTTCATTGGCTGAAGCTGGTAAGACGGCCCCAGGCTGCAGAATAGCCCCTCCCCCGTTGTGAGAATTCTCCACCTCGGCCGCTCAAGAAGACCCGGCACCGGAGACACGGGAGGTTGCTTCTACGCAGCTCGGGCACGCAGGCGCCATAGGAAGGGTACGAGGGGCTGTGTGCGGGTATGGTTAGGGTAACGGGGGTGCATAGGAAGCACTTGCAATTCAACATCTTCCCACCCGCTCCCTCCTCACCGATTAATCACGGTGCTTGAATTGTGTGCCTGCAGCTCCGGCCTGAGCTGCTCGTTTTGTTGCGTGGACGGCAGTGTGCGGCCCTCACGGCGCTGTGTGCGGGATGACTGTGCTTGTGTACCCGGCCATTGTGCGAGCGGCTGCAGAGGGAATCGGGAGGATGCTGGAGGGAGTGGTGGAGGAGGAGAAAGGGCAGAAGATGCTGCAGGGCAGGATGGAGGTGCTGGGCTCCCACTACCTCACTGCTTCCATCTGGATCTATCCCATAATAAAAGCTGTGCATTCCTCTCCTATGATCTTATGGGCAGCTTCTTTCTGCTCTTCATTGACACAGCAAAATCTATTGCTCTGACACTTCCATGGGTCACTATTGGGCTTTGTGTCAGCATTGTCCTGAGGTTACTAGATTGCTACTTGATGTGTCTGATGCGAGTTTTTGTTAGCTGAAAAATCAAATAAAGTAGAGGTTGCTAGGGGGTGGGGCTTGTTGTCATTGGTTAAAATGCGTTTGACGTGCTTCTATTGTGTGCTGCTATTGGCCCCGGTGCACACCTGTGCGATGCAGAAGTGTTTTTTGCTGTGGTAGGTAGGGCAGCGCAGTCATTGGAATGGGGCCGTCTGCACATCTGAATCACAATAAAGACATGCATTATTCATAGAAAAATATTCTTATAACCGGTTACCATGCGTTCTGGTGAGATGTCACAGGCAGTGCGTTGGTGGCCATTAAGACAGGGCTGGACAAATCCCAGGAGCCCGCAAGCCAGTACTTTTTTAGAAGTTAATAGCTGACTCCTAGCTTGAGGTTTACTCTACTTGTTGTCAAATCCTGCTGGTTCCTTGATTAGACTGGATTCCATAACGGCACCACAGCACACCTGACAGTGTCAAAGGTGATCTTGTGCGGTGTAGGAATGCCTGTGGTCTTCCATTGTATCGATGTAAATGGGGCAGGGGGCTTAAAGTGGAACTATGAGGTGAGTGATTTCCACTCATAGTTGGCGCCGACCTGTGACAAAGAAGCTGTCACATGTCGCTCCATTGATCGGGAAGTCAGCGAATGCATACCGTCATACTCTCACTTTCCGATCATCTACCTGCAGAGAGCGGTGACTATCAATCACCGCTCCCTGCAGGGATTCCCCCCTCCAGCGCTGACTGGAGGAATGGATGGGGAGGGGGGAGGGGGCAGGCACAGCTGGTTCTGCCTCTAGATGGGCAGAGCCCGCTGTCAATCAGCTAACTGGGTGGATATCCACAGTATTGTGGGGATCCGTCCCGGCTGTGGCGCTCACAGTATATAGCTCGCTATATGCTGAGCTTTGGGTCACGGGAGGTGGTTAGTATATGTCCTTACGTGACCATAAAGAGAACTATGGGGTAAAAAGGTTACCCCATAGTTCTCTTGTAAAGTTTGGTAATGCACGTTTAAATTGCACAGGTCTAAAGTGGACGTTCTCTATAGACGTACCCAATGGACAGTACACAGCCATATAACATACATAGCACCGTGTGTTTGACTTTGTCCATCCTCCGGTTCTCCAGTAATCAGCATTGGAAAACTGCCAGCTGTTACCAGTGACACCATGCAGGTGATGGTGTCACTCAGCCTCCCTCTTTCTATCAATGTCCTGTGATGGCAAAGCCTGACTGGGAACTGCTTGAACGTGCGTTCTCTGTACCCTTAAGCTGGCCATACATTATGTGAATTTCAGCTGGTTGATGATGAACCGACCGAAATTTGCACAGTGGGTGCTGCTGTTGGCACATTTTTGGCCAGCATCCCTCGAGCAGATGAGCCAGACGTAAAAAATCTTTTCAACGAACAGAGTGGGCAGCCAATGAGCTGCCGGTTCTGTTCTGGTATTCTGACAGCAGGAGATTCCTCGATCAACCCATGTGAGTTGTTGGAGGAATATATTATATTTTCTTTGTTCGGCTGGCAGGTTGAACTAAGAAAATATTAGTGTATGGTTAGCTTTATGCTGTGAAAGATGAAGGTAGATTGAATGAGGCTGAGCGACACCATAAGTTGCGTGGTGGTTGGGGGAGCTGAGCGACACCATAAGTTGCATGGGGCTAGGGGGGGCTGAGCAACACCATAAGTTGGGGGAGCTGAGCGACACCATAAGTTGCTAGGGGGAGCTGAGCGACACCATAAGTTGCATGGGGCTAGGGGGGCTGAGCGACACCATAAGTTTGCGTGGGGGGGCG